CTCTCTCTCTCTCTCTCTCTCTCTCTCTCTCTCTCTCCTCTTCACATGCTGGGGAGGTGCCAAAGGATGGGGGCTCTCATATCTTCTCACACTGCTCTGAAGTAAAAGACTTCATATTGGATGCCAGAGCATTGATGGAAAGGTCACTTTGTGTGTAGGGCTCCCTGATCCCCTTATTCTGGCACTGGGACAGGTCTCAGTCCGTTGACATTAAACAAGACCACGTGCCTGTTGGGAATCCTTGCCCCAGAAGCAATGGGCTTGATCTCCTGCTTGGGTTCTGCAGGAAGAAGTTGGGCGATACTGGATGGCAACTCCCAAGGTGAGCAGAAAGTGTGGCCAGGGATGGCAGCAGTGCAGTTAGAGTAGACTGTCTGCTACATTTGACCCCATAATGTAATGGTGGGGGGGTAGTAACCATGGCAGCAGTCCTGCTTCCTTGCTGGGGGGGCAGCGGCACAAAGATAGCTGCTGCTGCAGCTGGCTGTGCCAGCAGCATAGCAGATGTGCACCCTGGGCGGCAGCACCATCTGCCCTGTTACACCTCTGATTTTACCAGGAGGCCCAGGGCTACCTTGGATAGCATGGAAGTGATGTTCTGGCTGAAGAGAGAGTAGAGCCAGGTCAACCACTGGGGACATATCCTGGTTCATCTTTCCAGCATGGAAGGCTGCTGAGAAATGGGTTCGCTACCAAATGAGCTTGCATAAGTAGAGATGAAGGTTTGTCTAAGAGCACGGCAGCACCTCCTTTCCACTGCCTCCTCACTTCATACTTCCCCCCCATGTATATGAAATGACTCGTGTTGCCTGTACATTGGCACGTGTTTAATTCCAGCTGCTAAAATGCATAGCCAGGAAGGAGAAGTCATTTCTGGGCATATGATAGATGTGGGCAGGAAGGAGTTAAAGGTACGTAGAGAGTGTGTGGCCTTGTCTGAAAAATAACCAGCAGAAAGCCTGGATGGAGCAGGGAGCAAGAGTGCGGAGTTGAAGTCACGGTGGGTAGTTCTGCTCTAAGTGATGTCTGTTGGGCAAAGAATACAACTTTGGACTTCTCGAGCGAGACCCCTGCATTTTCTCACATGAAAGCACTTTAGGCTTAGACCGAACTGTGCTATGCAAAGGGTGTGCTGGAGGGGGAGGCTGGCTGTGGAAGAGGAGGGCTTTTGGCTCAGGCTGAGGCTGGCCACACCTCCCTCCCTTTTATTCTAGTTTGAAGGGTTTTGCATGCTTCTGAGAGCTGAAGGGGATAGACCAGTGTGAACTCTCCGGGTTGCTGCTCTGCTGCAGAATACTTGTGTTTTTTTTCTTCTCCAAAGCAATAGCTTTTAATGGCTCCAGCCAAGCCCAGTCTATGCCTCCTGCTCTTGCTAATCTGCTGCTTCTCCTTGTCAGAAGCACAGCTTCTGAGTTGGCTGGGTTGGGAAACACCAAAGCAGAAGGCAGTAACTGTCCCCCCTGAAGAGAACAGCACTACTGAGGAGCAGACGATGGGATCGCTTACCTCTCCAGCGGCTAGCACGCTCCATGCTCATTTGCAGACAATGGCACAGCAAGAAGGGAAAATACGGAATATATTTACACTCAAGAGGCAAGAGCCTGAGTCGGATGTGACTGTGCCCACAGCGGCACCATCTCGAACATCAAAAGACAAGGAGGAGAATATTGCAGGGGTAGGGGCTGAGATACTGACTGTTGCTGAAGGCATTAGGAGCTTGGTCCAGCTGTGGGATGAGACGGTCACCAAGGGAACAGAGGGCACGCAGGAACTGACAACAGCTGCTCCTTTCACAGCTGCACATCCCAGCCTCTCTGCTACTAGCCTTGTTACGGGATCAGCTGGCATTGAGAACATGACTGCTGACTCTACAGGGGGTGTCCAAAGCCCACTGGAAACTGGGCAGCCAGATGTTGCATTCCCTGTTCCCACCGGGCCTCCCCCTGTCCTATGGAACAGGACTCGAGTGCTCTTACAGCAGCCTGCGTCTCTTCCCCCAGGTAGTGATTCTTCCCCATTTTCACCAGGTGATGATGCCATTGGTGAGATGATGGCTTTCCAGGAGTCGTTCTCAAGACAGGGTCAGGAAGGTGCTGCCATCCTAGAAACAAGGGCTGCCTGGGGAGCTGCCTCCAAAAAGAGAGGAGAAATTGTACCAACAGTAAACATTTTGGACCAGCAGGAGCTTACAAGCAGTGCCAGCGTGCATGATGAGATACCGGCTGAGGTGGCAGGTTCCTTAGACAACCAGCTACCCCATTATGTTAGGAATTCAAACCACTCAGTCTCTCATGGGAATACTACCCCTCACATCATTAAAAATGCAGACAGCAGCCAATCAGTGCAAAGCATTGAACCCTCCGATAAGCAGTTTGGGAAAGCAGTAGCAGATTTAAATAGGAGCCATAGTGATTCTGTTTCTAATGCAACTAATTTTGTGGATTTTTTTCCTGCCAATAACTCTGATTCTCTTGGGTTTGACTTACTAACCTACACTATGCAACTTTATAGCAATAATAGCACGGGGCTTGCTTCCTTCTTTCCTGGATTGACTCCAACAGCTGGCCACTGCTTGCCCTTACCAGCCAATCTTCCATATTGCAACAACCTGGGCCTAAAGCATTTCAGAATGCCGAATTATTTCAATCACGGCAGTGACATGGAAATTCGGGCTTCTTTGCATGAGTGGGAGGGGCTTTTAAAATCTCGGTGTCACCGCTACTTGGAGTGGTTTTACTGCTTGCTACTGGTACCTGGGTGTAATGCTTCTATTCCAATAACACCTCCGCCATGCCAGGGATTCTGTGAGGCCCTGAAAGATCTCTGTTGGATGCATTTGAAAGAGGGGCGCCTCCCAATCTCATGTGACACTCTCCCTGCGGAGGATGATGAGTATTCTTGTGTATTTATTAATGTTTCTGCAGGTAATATGACAGGGGTAATATCTCATATCAACTTTTTCTTTTTCTTTCACCAGGTAAGCTCAATTGGTATTTGCTCTAAAAGCCTTCAAGTGTGTCCATATATACTTCATTCAGTTCCCTGTATCCTGCTTCTCTATTAGTCAGGGTATCTGGGCAGGAGGGGAAGTTGAGTAGTCCACAGAGCCCATTGCTATGGATGGCTTCCAGTCTTCAAGGATCAGTCTGTCCGAACCATGGTTGTTCTCTTTAGAGCAGGGGTGTCAATCTCACCTAGGGCCCTGGGTAGATCTGGACTGTGGGGCTTCTTGTGGGGCAGCAGCTGTGGCCATTGTGGTGGTGGTGGGTGGTAGGTCTGGGGGTGAGGAGTCCAGAGGTAGAGTTTCACTGGCAGTGGGAAGGATCTGATAACAGCAGTGGGTCGAGGTGACTAGGGGTCCAGGGGCAGCAGTGGTGGTGAGCCAATTTTACCACTGATAACCCTGGCCAGTGGGGCCAAAGGGCCCCAGATTCCATGTTGGGCCATACCCCCCAACTTCTGGTGACTGCCTGTAGCTTGGCATGTTGGATAGAGCAGTACTGTGGGCTGGATCTGGCCCACAGGTCATATGTTGGACATTTCTGCCTTTACAGTCCTGTTGTTGTGGGCCCGATGTGAAATGTGCATCATGGGCTGTACCCATCTCTGCTATCCATGTGGCCCAAGGGCTGTGTTGCCAAGGTGGCCTCTGCTTGTGGGTTGGTGGTTACAAGGAAATAGTTAGGAGTTGCAACATGGAATAGATGACTTATGTTGCTCCTCCTTCTCACGCCTATAACTCCTCACAGCTCTGAGCGGTCAGGCAGGTGGGAGTCAGAATTCATTCTCGTTGGTTCCCAGTGAGGGGGGGGATTGCCAAATGATTCTGCCACTGATACATTACAAATAGTGTGGTCTGTAGTAGATGGGTCCATGCCAGTAGCCTTCACAGCAGCTAATGTGTCCTAGATAGAGCAATAATGTACAGCATCCGTGGTGGTGTTTGATGAAAACTGGATATTCAAATAGCTGCCAGGGGCAGGTCTCCTGTCAGCCTGCTTCCATATTGATGGGGTTTACAGTAGTAAGTATCTTACTGGTAATGGCAATTTTTATACCAGGGCTTTGGAGGTCTGGCCTAATGGTTGGGGAGGGTGGGAAGGGACATGTTTCTTCCTGACATGTAGTGTCTCTTTACTGACCATGGATGGTGAAGCAAACATTAACCTTTTGGTTTCTTTTCTCTGCCTCAAGCACACAATTGCATAGTTGCCACAAGAGTTGTGTTGAATTGAGCCAAAAGGAGGTAGCTCTTTTCCTTGTGCAACCTGGGTTTAGCTATCATAGACTGCATAGTGTCATGGGCCACAGCGATCAGCACATTCCCTTAGTGACCTATCCCGGGGGCATTCTCCTCTTCCCCTACTCTTGGACACCCTGCTGAATGTGTTGTATTCTTTGAATGGTCTACATTCAAGTGAGAGATGAGATTTCTATGTCCAAGTTCCAGACCAAAAGGGAAGGACCTTCAAACTGTTAGATGGATTTTGGTGACTATTCCAGGTACCTTAATAGGAGGACCCGGGATCTGGGTCTAGAAGTCCTCCTTTGCAGGGTCCTTCTCTTCTGCTAGGTCTTGGGGCATTGAGCTGACTCTGCAAGCAGGTACTTGGGTCTGTGTGCTAGGGGAGCAATGGGAAAGCTTTTAGCAACCACACAACTGGGTCAAACAGGCACTTCTTAGTGTCTGCTGTGGGGAGTGATGTATGTTTGCACACAGCATTACTGTCTCTTTCCCTATGTGCATTCACAGGGTAGCTACATGGGTGCAGAGACCTTCAGCAAGTGTAGCATCTGGGATGTTTAGACTATGGTGGAATGAAAACCAGTGCGGTCTGGCAGTGATAAGGAGCAGTGAAGTAAAACTCAGTTAAAACAAATGAGATGTATATATTTTTTTTCTATCTAAGGCTTTGGGTAGAAGTTTTAACAAACTATTTCTGCCTGGGGTCAGCTCTTTTACATATATGTTGCAATCAATTTGTCAGTGCTTTTTTGCAGTGCTACAACCCAGAGACAGCTTATGCCATATCCTCTATTTGCATTTTTGGAAAAGTTTAAAAAATTCAGGGATTTTTGTTTCAGGATGATGAACGGTTCCATGAGCACCTCACTTCCATAGTGAGATGAAGGTCATGTTGTTCTGATGCTTGCCTTGCCAGTGCTTGAAGCACTGCACGTACATACCTGCCCTGTAATTTTGTGGTGGTGTTCTTAAATGCTGTGCATACCACTGGCTTTGACTGGGAGCTGGAGTGCACACGTTCCTGGCCTATTTGTGCATGGAAAACCATGAGAAGATGAGGGACAGAGGTTTTTAATGGGGGTGTCATGCCCCTTTCTTCACTTTCCCTCCTTCTTTGCCAGGACGTAGGGTGATGTTTAGGTGTCATTGCTTACACCTCATATGAGATCTCATTATATTTTGAGTTAGTTGCATTGTAAGACAAAAATTTGAGTCTGTGGCTGATACCTACATACTCCACACAGGGAGGCTGCATCTTAGCCACATGCCATCGCATTCCCCTCAATGTCAAGTTATGCCTGGTATGGTATCTGGACTGAGGCTTATAGTCTCTTCTGGATGCACTAGAACATGGAGCATAAAAAAGATTCAAAGGGGGGACACTGATAAACACTGCTCAGCACCCATTTGGCTGTGTCATGTTTTTACATATGTGCTACCCAATAAAGGATGAAATTCTCCCCTTTATTCAAAGTGAGTGATGTCTTTCTGACCTGGCATGCTAATGCCTGTGCTGCTACGTCTTCACCAGTTGCTTTATATGTGCTAGCTACATCAAGTTAGAAAGGCCCAAGGTAGCACTGCAACCACATCTACATTTTGCACAGGAAATATGGTTTTTATATATATGACAGCAGGTCTTGAGCTTTCTGTCCTGGCATTTGGAGTGAACAATACTTTTTTTTTGGTGGCTGGTCCATGTGTATTTTTAATATAAGGCACTGAAAAGTGTCCAGGGCAAGGGTACTACATTATTGTCACAAATGGGCCAGAAGCAATTTGTGTCCCTCAGATACGCTGTGATGTGTTTGCTTTTCTCCTTGGACAATTTGCATCATTCTCTTCTCAAATCCTTATCTTGTAAATTGTCCTCAAGTGTACAATGTGGAACACATGGGTGGTTTGAACAGAGATAAGGAAAGCAAGGCAGACAATGGGGATACTTTTATAGATGTAAGACTATTGCCCCAGGCAATCTAACCCTTCATTAGTAAGTGTTGTTGATATTAAAGACTAAGTGTTCTCAGGCTGTGACCCCAGGGTGCACATTAACCCATCACAGGAACACTGTCTGTCTTTTGACCCTGAGGATTAAGGGTGGATTGGACTCTATCAGGATAAATGTTCCCAGACTAATAGAACAACCCCCCGCCCCCGCACCACCACCACCAAGCAGCCCATCAAAGAGATCCTATTCTGCCTGTCTCGGGGAAATAGAGCTGCAGTTGAGATGAATAAAATTAAGCAGCCAACACTTCTGTTTTATTTAGGGAAAATTCTATTTCAGTAACATTTTCTGGATTTCTTTTCCATTATGGCTAATCCCAACAGTGTTTAAAGGGCTATGGGAGTCATTTTTTTTAAGAGCTCCTCTGCTCCTGCTGCTTATTTCCCACCCAAAGTTAGAATCCTTGAAAGCATAATCATTTCCACACAGCAGTTGACTGGATTACAGCAGAAAGGAAATTGGTTTGGTTTGGCATCTGTTTCGGAGTTTGTCTACCCAGGGGAGGTAGGGCACTGTGTGCTTGAGAGCAGATTTATAGCATAGCAAGTACTCTGTCCTAACAACTCATGTGAAGCCTTGTGGCAAGTGAGCCACCTCACACTTAGTGCTCATTAAAAGTATCTGCACAGGGAATTAGTGTGGAGTTGCTAATGCACTATACAGTCACACAAGAATTTGGGCATTTATACACATACATTTGGCTGATGCGTCAGAGATCTGGCATGTCAGAGCAGACTCGATTAATC